CTGCACAAAACACAGGTGGAACAAAACCCGTGCAAGGAACCAACCGGTATCTGATTTGATTAAGACTCACTCCAGGAGATGGAACCCATATATGACACAGCTTGGGTGACCAAGAACCAGAGATTATATAACTCAGGGATTTAGTAAAAAACTAAATATGACTGTTGTACTAAAAGAATATAGAAATTAAATGACTCTTAAAGGAGTTTTGCTAGACTATATAGCCTATTGCCTTGCTCAACCATCAGCAGAGAAGCCTCCTTCTACAGCTGATGGGAACAAATACAGAGACTCACAGAGTGTTGGAGACCCTGGAACACTCAGCCCTAAACTGGTTGTCTCCATCAAATCCCTTCCTCAGAACCCAGGAAACCCTGAGAGAGGAGGCAGTAAGAGCCAAAGGGAAAGGAGGACATCAAGGGAGGAAGGCCCTCTAAATCAGCATGACCAAAGCTCACACAAACACAGAGACTGCAGAAGCATGCATAGGGCTTAAGGAGTCTGCATCAGATGTGCTCCTAGAGCTGAAAGGATCAGTGAACATATCGGCAATTGATAACCACTTGCAAATGAAAAACGTAGTCTTCCTTAAGGGAGTCTGACTGGGGAAATAAACAGCAGTAGATGCCAACATAGCATGGACTCAGGAGCATCTTTGCAGGGTTCTTACCTCATACTGTGTGTGTGGGGGGGTGTTGTTTGTTTTTGTTGTTGGTTTTTTATTTTATGTTATTTATATATTTTCTCTCTTTTTACCCTATAGGTCCTGTGTGTGTGTGTGTGTGTGTGTGTGTGTGTGTGTGTGTAATATATAATATGATATAATATACAATGGGCTCCATTTTAGTGTTTTTAAGGGATTCCAGAGTGTGAAAAATGGGTCTCTGCCTCAATATTTGTTTCTTGTGCCTTCTCTTGGCTCTTTTCCTTCTTTGTGTTTGTTTTGTCCCATTCTGATCCATTAGTTTTTATCTGTATTGCATTTTATTATAGTCTGTTATATTTTATTATTATCTTAGAAGTCTGTTTGTTTTATAATAAAAGACAGAGAGCAGATGGATCTGAGTGGGGAGGAACTGGGAGGAGTAGAGGGAGGGGAAACCAAAGTCAGGAGGTATTATGTGAGAAAAAAATCTACTTTCAATAAAAGCAAAATATAGAAATAAACATAAAAGAAAATGCTTGTGGGAAAAGTCTATACTAAAGCGACCCTGCATTATTTATGGTAGAATTATTAGGAAGCATAATAAAATAATAAAATAATTATAATAAAGGAGGTATAATAAAAGCATATGCAGTGAAAAAAATTAAATGTATTGGATCTTTCTGTGACCTCTCCCCCAAAGAGGGTAAACACGGAAACCAAGGTAATGAGATCGATCCGCAGTCCATAAGGCTAAGGTTTCTTTATTCAGATAAACACCAGCCCAAACACAAGCCAGAGAGTGCCAGGGGCATCAAGGCAGCCAGAGAGAGGGGCCAGAAAAGAAAGGCTATTCATGTGTTCGGGGTCCCTTAAGAACCGTTCTCTAGTCACCTTAGACTTCCCCTCACCACGCCCTCACAGCTATGTCCTGGAACACCTGTCCGGGCTACTAGGAGGAGGGGCTACAGTGTCTCCCTACACCAAGGTGTCAAAGCTTTCCATATCAGTGTATCAGCATAAACCGAAGTTAATGCTAAAGCTTGTGAAGGTGATAGTCCTGTCTGTTTCTAGTCAATAGTTTACCACCTACTACCTAATATACAGGGAAATAAGGTGGCAAAGATGGAAGGTAGGAAGGAAGGAAGGAAGGAGGGAGGGAGGGAGGGAGGGAGGGAGGGAGGAAGGGAGGGAGGAAGGAAGGAGGGAAGGAAGGAAAGAGGGAAGGAAGGAAAGAGATTTGTTGATTATTGTTTTCTTCACCATGTTTAACTCATGATTATTATAGAAACCCTTTACCTCATTATCTCTTTGACAGCTTTATGCAATAGAAATGGTATAAAATAAAGGTTATTAGCATGTTTTGCTTTGGTATGGCGTGTTTATTTTGTGCTGTGGTAATTGTTGGGTTTTCACATTATCCAGACTTTTCTCTTGAACCAACTTTTTACATCTCTACTGGTATTACAGTTGCGCACCAGCACATCTAGCTTTCAAACATGTTTAAAAACATTTACCCAAACTTCACAAATCATATAGTCAATTAACTTATGGGGCCTCTGGTAGTGGACCAGTATTTATCCCTAGTGTATGAATAGACTTTGGGAGCCCATTCAACATAGAGGGATACTCTCTCAGCTTAGACACATGGGGGAGGCCCTAGGCCCTGCCCCAAATGATGTGACAGACTTTGAAGGTCCCCCATGGAAGGCCTCACCTTCCCTGGGAAGCAGAAAGGGGATGGGACAGAGGGTTAGTGGCAGGCAGGGGAGGAGGGGAGGGAGAGGGAACTGGGATCAACATGTAAAACAAGCTTGTTTCTAATTTAAATAAAAAATAGAAAAAACACAATTATATCAGGTATTGGATAAAGACATAGCAAATTGTTACTTCCAAAAAAGTCTAGGTAGCAACTTTGGTCACATATGGTAACAATGACTGTTTTGCCATAACTCACTGGAAATAATTTTGGTATTGTCCCATTTAAAGATCACAGGGTGGCATGTTCTTTGGACAGTTAGTGTAAAAGCTCCTAAAGGATAAGTAATCAAGGTAGTTACGTAAAGGCTACCCCTCCATTTGCAAAAAACACACCCCATTTAAGTAAGCTTCTCTAGTGTACAATAAGATAGAAACATGAAAAATGTACTCAAGCAGTCTTAACTGTGTGAAAAATCAGTTGCCCACATTTTCCAAAGAGCACAGAGGATGCCAAAGATGGACAGTCCTCCATAAGCTGCTGGTGGAAGCATCCTTTCAAATAGTCAAGGAGGATTTTGATAAACACAGATGAAAATCAATATGACCAAATAAAATTTCAAAATGACACAATCATATTCTGAATCTGGGAATAAATCTCAGAGTAGTAATTAAACTTTAAAACAAAATTTTCAACTCAACCAAAATGAAACAGAATAAAAAAATTGACTGTTATTAATACTAATTATGTGTGGTATTCTTTTTTCTATTTTCCTTTGGTTTTTATACTTTAAATAGATAATATTCTGACTGTGAAGAGTAAAGTTCAATATTTTATTGTTCCCAAATGCAATTAAAGAAGTCATAGATTAAATGGTAGATTATTCTCAAGTATAGATGGATTCAATTAACAGAACATTTAATCGATCTATCTAAAAGATTTTCGTGAATCCACAAAAGCACTTTATCTACTTTCTAATAAAAAAGTTTGTCCTCAAAAAAGTTTTCACAGATTCTCATTCTGACACACAGTGATGTCTAATTTCCGCTGGTCTAAATGACATTTATTTAGATTTATTAATTTAGTACAAAGGAACTCCTGTAAGTTTTTAATAACAATTATCATTATCACTGATTAAAATTATGTTGTTTGGTCCAGATGGAGTTCTTTTCCTGTCAGCTAGAATGAGCTTGCATTGTGTGGTTATAATATGTTTAGATTCAAACAGGCAGATGGCACAAAGAAGGATATTGCATGCTCCTGTTATCAGTAAACGTGCCTCACCAAGCTCGCTTTAAATAAACTGTTCCAAAAGGGTCCCTCCACTTTGTAAAAGATGACTACATGTGAGAGCCACCACATTACTGAGCTTGGACATGGCTCTCTTCGATTCCAAAGATAGACTCTCAGGTGGCCTAAGGTTCAGCCAGGGAAATTGTCAGTCAAGTCAGTTTATCAGTGAGAGTGTCAATCTTTGTAGGTTCTCTTGGGCACCTTCATTGGAGAGGGAAAACTGCTAAGTAGTAAGAGTTCTCAGTTAAGGATTCAAAACCTGTGACTAAGGGAAGACAGTAACATTTGGTGTAAGGATTTGATTAAGTATGTTGAATTTGTAATTAATAGTAAAAAATGAACAAAGTTCTTTTTTTGGGGGGGAGTGGATTTCGAAACAGGGTTTCTCTGTGGCTTTGGATTTGGAGGCTGTCCTGGAACTAGCTCTTGTAGTCCAGGCTGGTCTCGAACTCACAGAGATTCTCCGGCCTCTGCCTCCCAAGTTCTGAGATTAAAGGCATCCACACCACCGCCCGGCAAAAAAATGAACAAAGTTCTTAAAAAAAAACTTTCTATAGAGAGGTTTGAGTCTTTAATAGCTTTTCATGTACACTCAATCCTAAAGAGAAGCCAGAGACCCATTGAAGTTTTGAGTAAAATTCAGAAACAAGTTTCAAGGGTAGTCCACTCACATGGTTTCCTCTAGTTCATGTGCTTAGTACCAAGTAGTCTGTGGGACAGCTATACCCCAAATAGAAAAAAAAAAAAAAAACATATGAAACTTTCTTCTTGGGACTTAAAGGATGCCCTTTAAAAATTTAGGTAACAGCAAAATTTTAGGCCTACGTATTAGAACTGGCATAAAGCTTCCTAAAACATTCCATTTTATTTTAATTTTTTGGTGTTTGAGTTTGCCTCTTAGTCTGAGGGTTTATAATGTGATTGAATAATATATTCTTGCTGACATAGACTGCAGCTTCTTCCTTTGAATTATTATTGCCCCTTAATTTTTAATATTGGTTGCTATCATTTAGTTGTGAGCTTTGGAAAATCCATTAAGTAGTATAGATCAAGGAAATATCAATGTCCAATAGTCAAAATGAAAGAATACAACTACTTATTTCTGCCTGAAGAAATATTAAAAAATAGACTCATTTCTTTTTTATGTAAAATATAGGACAATTTCACATACAAGGACATTGTGCTTTAGTTTATCTTACAAGGAGCATTCAGGTTTTGGTAAATAAGTGAACATTTTTAGGGATATATCTCAGTTCTAGCATGACTTAAAATTCCCAGCCAGAAACAAGAGAGTTTCATTGGGAAGGTACAAGAATGAAAAGCTATAGTAAACACGGCCTTTCTCCTTCTTTTTCTTTTCTGCAGGTGGAAGATGCCATAAGTCCTGTACTGGCCGCTGCTGGGGACCCACCGAAAATCACTGTCAGACCTGTAAGTGTTCCACAGTGAAAATTAGAAGGTTTGGAATAGTCGATGGTTTACTGATGAAATATTCTCACAATTCTGATCACCTGCAATGTAAAATGAGCTTAATTTGTTTCCATCCCAATAAGCTACTTCAGTCTTTGCTTTCAAATGAAACAATCCATAATTGCTTCTCACATTTCATTGTAGTTTCTTGGCTAATGACCTCCATAGCACATTTGTCATGACATTATCTCTGACTTTGAAATCTGTGTATCAGTAAAATTAAAAGATCCAAATACAGCCGGGAGTTGGTGGTACACGCCTTTAATCTCAGGACTCGGAAGGCAGAGGCAGGTGGATCTCTGTGAAGTTGAGGTCAGCCTGGTCTCCAGAGCAAGTCCCAGGATAGGCTCCAAAGCTACACAGAAACCCTGTCTCGAAAAACCAAAAAAAAAAAAAATCCAAATACAAGGAAAAATATATTAATTAAATTTCAAGCAAACTGGTATTTCATTAAGTTTCCCAAGTATTAATATTGTCATTAGTGGATTACAAAAAGAAAAATATAACAAGTACCATGTACATACCCAATTTTTTCTACACATAGATGTAAACTACATGGACAATGGGTTTACAAATATGACTGTTAACAATAATTCTTACTCTATGCTATGCTTCCATTTAAGATTTATTTTAATTATGTGCACATTAATGCAGACAGAAGTTTCTTGACACATTAATTATTATGAGTATTTAACTGTCATCACTGATAAGTTATTGAACCAAAGCATGCCAGTTATAAAGGTCAGGGCTGGAGAATAAACTCTGTCCTTAGAGTGTTTTCTGTGAATACATGATGCCCTGGTTTGATACCCAGCAACAAATACATACATAATATTTTCAGTATTCTTAAATTTTTACTATACTCCAAATATACCTGATATGTCACCAATGTTATGGCTAAATAATTTATTTTAAAATTGAAAACAAAGCTTTCTATACAAATAGTAAACTTTTTCCCATCTGCATTAAGACCAAAGTTTTGAAAAGCATGGCATGATGAGAATATGAAATGCAGATTTTACTAGTATAAAATCAATACAAAACACCAAACACTGGAGATAACGATATTCAAGTATTGCACAATTAGATAATTTGTTATAATGCTATATAAAATTTTAGAGATTTCACATTTACCTCCTCCATTCATGACATTATTATAATAAAGAAATAACAAAACAATTACTGTAGTATAAGCCAGCAATGGAGACAGTAAAAAAAGAATAATTCTCAAAGGTATTTTTTTAATTTTTTCTAAGTTAAATATACCATCACATTCAAAATTCAAGAAATGTGAAAATAATAATGTAAGATTGTCTTCTGGCTTGGGCCTGCTTTGTTCAGTCACCTGCTGGCAGCATACATTTTGTTCTTCTGAAAGTAAATTCTGTAGACCAAAGCTGCATGTTTATATCTTGCACATTTTTCACTCAAAGCCACTCATTAAGCTATATGATGTGTTAGTTAGCTTTCTGTTACTGAAAGACATACCTGAAAGATGATGTTTATATAGAAAAATACACTATTTATATAGAAAAATCGGGAAACACATGGTGACTAGTTTCACCTATTATTTCAGCATTGAGATAAAGGTAACTATAATACCAAATTCTTAATAGTCACCATTTCCACTCCACATTCTATAAATTTTAAGCAACTACTTATGTACATCTAATATTTATACAAGTACAAATTTTAGTATAGTATACTTTAGCACAGAATCATTTAGGTTATAAAATATTTCCTTTTTAAATGCCCTTTAAGATAAATTTCTTGCAAGTTAGGGACAGTGATCTTTTTTCTATAAGACAGAGAAGTAGTTAGAGAGGTTGTAAAATTTATGTAGATAACGTTTGGATTTCAGCCACTGTGTTTGAGTCTGAAGACTGTTCTGTCACTTGTACACCACATTTCAGGGGACACCCAAAGGCAGGTTCACTCGGAAATCAGTCATGTGTTGGAAATTACAATTGTCCTGCTTTCCTCCATGGGTAAACAACTCCATGCTAAACATCAGTTGCCACATCTATAAAATGGAAATGGTTGTATTAACTTCCAAATGGTTGATTTTTTTAAATGAAAAATTCTATTCACTATTAAAGTTGAAATACTTAAGCAGTTTTGGACATAGGCTAAGGCCCCAATAAATAACATATAGTAATTAAAGGAGGTATGTTGGAAAAAGTTATCCATAAGTGAATGGGAGGATGTGAGAGATAAAATAACCTGGACATGTCTACCTATTTCTGGTGTTTGGGCAGGGAATGAGAAACAGGACTGAGGAGGTACATACTGCTTGCCCTTGACTTTATTCATGTCCTTCTCCTCTTCCTCAGAGTTACTTAAGAGATACATTGCATATCCATATTTAAATAGCAGAGCAAATGTATTTTAGAACGAGTATGACACTTAAGTATTGTAAGGCCTGAGTTTTATAATTATAAAATTGATTTCACACTTCTGTGAGTACTAGACCTCATGGAATATTCCAGAGAGATGAGAAACCCCCAGAGCTTTCATGAAGGTGAATTACACATAAACAAGAATTTTGGTCTCTTCAATTTTCAGCAGTTCTTCTATGAGTGAAGGTGACTTGTGGTGATGTTCACTGTGTCATTGTATGTTTTTGAAACTTTTAAGGATGTTCTGCTTACCTGGTTGACCACAAAAAATATGCATTTTCATATCTGCAAGATGTAGTCTCATAATAATTTACAAATCACTTATTTCCCTTTGTCTAAAGTAAATTCCTTTTTGTGAAAGCTTTTCTATAGGCAATTGATTTTCTTTTATCAAAAATTCCCTTTCCTTTTTGCCTTACAAAGTATTTGCAAAGGAAGGACAACTTACAAAATATTGACAAAGGAAAGACAACTATTCCAATGTCCTTCATCTCCATTAAGCAATCCCAAAGTTAGGGTTATATTTTATTGCCCCACCTTTCATTGAGTTACTCTATAGCTATCTCTCCTGGCTGTTGTGTTAGAGGCTGTCTTGTGTAATTAAATGGTGGGAAGTCACAATAAAGACAAAGAGCTCAGCTCTGGGAGAAGTGCACAGTGATAGCAAGTTGTTGTGTGAGATGAAACAGGGGAGTGATGAGAGCTGCCAATGTCTCTGAATGGAGACATGGGTAACAAAGATGTCAAGCCCATCATGTTGTCCTTGGGGAGAAGGCTGTAGGGTTTCCATAACTAGGGAAAGTTTGTGCTGTGTTAAAGTAGAGTCCATGAAATGAAAGTCCATGAAGACATGTTGAATATTTAAGTGTATCCTCAGTAGCATTTACTACCATTCAGATTATAAACTGGAGCATTCTCTATTAGAATAGAAGAATTTTTTTCTAACCAAAATCTTTTTAAAAATCGTAACCATGCTAAGGGATTTTATAAATATTAATGTAAGTAAATGATGCTTGTACAATCTTACTAAGTATTCTGCTCTGATTTACCCCTGAGTCTGATTTTCTGAACAACTTGGATTCATGCTCCTTAAATCCTTTTTGAATGCTAGAGCATGCTGACCCTAGACACCTAACAAGAGCATTTCTTGCCTCACTGCTAAGGGTCAAACAGAACTTAGGCTGGGGTACTGAGAGATGCCTTACATTTGCGGCACAACTCCAACTTGAAAGTGCTTTTAAGCTCAGTTAAATCACGCCTGCTTTGCTCCACAGCACAGCTTAAGTAAATTGATTCAGTGGATTAATGTAGTCATGTCAGGGGAGACGGACTTATCTTCTACGTGAAGGCTGAAGCTTACGGAAGTATTATTTAGTAAGCTTATGGGTAAGAATGACAACTCTCTCTGTTCACGAGAACTGGGGTCTGAGGTCTGAGTTGAATAGGTGTGAGTGTGAAGGAGACTCAGCTTTAAGAAATAAATAATAATGATTAAAGGAACAAAGCTATCTCTGTCCCTGCAAGATATATGAAATGTACTTGTCACATTTAAACTAGACACCGAATGTCCTTTTTTATCTCTAGTCACAGTATCAGGGCAGCTCTCTCTACTCTCCTATCATCAGGGAGGGGTGGTACTTTCATTATTCACTTCCCTTTTGTCCTCCCAGACCCAATGTCAGATCATATAGTCACTGCATTTTGAGTGAGGAAAGAGGAAAAATTGCACAGACTAAAATATTGCAGTTTGATTTTTCCCAACCTTTGCATACATTCTGCATGAGAGTAGTCATAATTGTCTTCATTTACAGCTTTTATAATTAGAATTTTCTAAGGTGATAACCTTCGATACTAAATTTTCCATCTTCTTAGTTTTTTTTTTTTTCAAATGTCATTTCTTACCTGGAAACAAATTGGAAAATATAAGTGTATTAACAATAGAAAGAAAAGGGTGTTTGTCTCCTGAATTGAAGTATTAAACTATAAAAAGTAAAGAGAAAATTCATGTTCCAGCTGTTGGACTAAACAGACATGATGCATTTCCCCATTTGTCATTAATTACTAATAATTTTAATAAAGGGAACAGTTAACTGTGGAAGTTTCCAATTTCATTTTATTTTTTAAATAAAATAATCAATATGTTATTAAAATGTTAATGAGGTACTTAATATATTAATACAATAAAATATTCCAAACAACATTTTATATTATCTATTGTTTTGATAGAAACAGGAGGGGAAATGGGGAGTGGGGAGGAGATATGAGGGATCATGCAGGTCAAGTTGGGGGAAGAAAAGAGAAGAACAACAAAAAAAAGATACCTTAATAGAGGGAGCCATTATGGGTTTAAAGAGAAATGTGGCACTAGGGAAATCTCCAGAGGTCCACAAGGATGACCCCAACTAAGAATCTAAGCAGTAGTGGAGAGGCTACCTTAAATGCTCTTCCCCTATAATGAGATTGATGACTACATTAAATGCCACCATAGAGCCTTCATCCAGTAGCTGATGGAAGCAGAAGCAGAGATTCACAGCTAAGCACTGAGCCAAACTCCTTGAATCC